AATATTCTTTAGGATCCACCACAGTACGTATTATAACATTTCCAAGACACGCCGCTATGAAGTCACTAAACAGCAGTATGTCAAGCAAATCCAAAGTTGAAAACCAGTGTGACATAGGAATGCCAAAAATGATCTCTTGGCAATGAGGACACACACACACAATACCACAGTCAACTACCCATCTCTCTCCACACACCATTATCACTTCACAGACCACATTAATCTACACAGTTACTATATTCATGGAGCATCAGCTCCAACACCAAGAATCACTGGCAGTGCGGAAAACCATTCAATTACGGCTCCATAAAACATGACAGTATGTGAGCACAGTGACTTCTCAGCGTGTTGATATTAACATTCAGGACAATTAGACGACTAAGTTACGTGTGCTTGCTCACCACACACCTGCACAGAGTTCATCACGACACACAGGCACTAATAAATGTATGTACACATTTTCTTCATTGGTTTTCTGCAACAGAGTTCAGACACTAGTACTGTCGGATCTGTATGCCATAGAATGCATAGAGACAGTCTGTTCAGGGACTTGCAGACTTCAAAGAAAAAAGGATCATTCGTGCTGCACAAACCTGATGTGAACGTGAGCGAGCAATGCAATGGTGCTTGTGAATAATACAAAATCTTCGTTGAATTAAAAATGGTGAATATGGGGAAAAAACAAGGAGACAAGACAGAGTGTATGTGATTGCAGTAGTACAATGGATGATGGCGACATACATCAAACCGACATTGCTCCTCTCATGTATATTTTCCTCCACACAAGCCCTATATCGTCGCCACTTTTACTCACAACATGAAAAACTGAACAGCTCACGCTATATACAAAGAAAGAAAAGAGAAAGAAAACAAGACTTCAGAAGGGCTACATTAACATACATAATAACCATAAGGGCTTAGTTGGGACTTGCAAAAACATGTGAGCTGATGCACGATGGCGGTGAAACTGACTACAACAGGCACAAACAGTACGGACACAGGCGTTATATAAAGCAAAGTATCAAAATAATGTGCGATATTTAAAAGGTTAAAAAATAATATCCATTAGAAACACGGCAGCACAATAATAACAAATACGAGGTAAAACACAGTGTACGGCAGTACCATTAGAGAGGTCAGCTAGCAAGACCTTAGGCATAGAAGGGTGCCCCGCGCCTTGATAACCAGGGATGGTGGGTTAGAGTCTTTTACCACCGTGAACTCTCCCCACTCACCCACGCCTTTCTCACAGTGGTACTGCCCACGGAGTAGTACACTCAACGAAACACACCTCAATATTGACGACAGCACAGAAACGGAATGACAGAGAGAGACCAAGAGCAAGCAATATATACGCAGGCCAACAGGAAGCAAAGCACAGTGAGATCCTTCCTCTAAAGGAATGTAGGGTCAGTCAGAATTTACAAACGATGTTGCCGTGTTGTTACGTGTCTGTACAAGGATGGTCGTCCAATATACAGGCCACATATTATGCCTTCATAAACATGTCTCTTCAGACCGACGTTGTATCGTTAGATGTTTATATTTTAACATAAAACCTTTTGAAACTGCGAACCAACTTATAACGGAAACCTTGTTTTATCAATTTTGGTAGTAATCATCATATTCCTTTAATAAATTCATCATTGGTGCTGCATATTTCGCCCAATTCCTCACTAATTGAGATATATAAACCCCATACAAGGCCCGCGGGAATGTTTGCTCGCTCATAAAAGGAAAATAACAATACGGAAGTTGAAACTATCTCTCTTATCATAGACGGTGGTGGTGCATATCCATCTTTATTATAATGCCAACATACAGTAGAACCATACCACTATTCTCGTTGTCTTCACACAAGCTCAGATGCATATGTCTCATTTATCACCTTCTCAAAGAGGGGTTATTTAAAGTGAGTAGATCGTCGATGTACCGAAGGTGTTAGAAAATCCTCTCGCTTTAGACATATATTACTACTTATCAGCCTTCTCATATATACGTACTCAAAGTGAAATACATATAAATTTGCCAATGAAGGTGCACCATCCGACCCCATAGGTATACCTATGCACTGATGAAACACCCTATTACCTACTGACACATATATATTGTCAATAAGATAGTAGACCATATCTATTGACTGAGCTTTACTGATGTTAATTTCATACCTATTGTCGGTACTCCAGAAACATTTACCTCTCTTAGTTATCGATAAATACATTGCTCCTCTCACCTTAAAGGCATCTTCTATCAATTCTTTCATACTGCTCTTCAAGGAATGATGTGGTATGCTTGTATACAATGTGGAAAAGTCAAAGGTGTCCATGGTTCTAGCCGCCGAAGTATCATTGAGTGTATGCATTGATTGTAAGACTAACTGCGCATTATCAATTAACCCTTTGGGCGCCATAGGTGTCTCCTTAAATAAGCAGAAATTGATGTATAACATATTAGCGCCTAGTATTATAGCCATATATAAATTCTTATGCACTTATGGAGGCTCTGTGCATATATACATATATGTAAATGCGCCCAAAGGGTTTTAACTCCCGTATTTTGTAGATACAAGACTCTATAAATCTCTCTAACAATACTCTTTGCCTGCACTACAATACTACAAGGAGCTCATGCTTGAGGACTACTTTGTTTGTACTAGACAGCCCCACTTGGCTCATAGTATGTACCATAATTACATGTGCTACAATAATAATGTTTGTACAAGTTCAACAGTATGTTGTACATGTATACCAGAACTGGTGCTTAAAAAGACTACGGAAATAAGCAGCCCACTTTCACATCTTGATGTTGGTGTAATTATCATTTATGATGGTATATGTGGCTTTTATTACCCTTACATCACAAATCTCATTTACTACAAACACACTTACTGTCGTGGTGAGATTAACGTTGGCTCCATTCTTCAATAGAATGTCAACTATTAGCTTGTGCCCACCATCACAGGCAACACGGAGTGGAGTAAAACCATCCTGGACAGGAGGGAAATAAGAATGACAGCATGTGCAGCCCACGCAGAAGTTATAGCTGGCCATGACCATGCAGACTGAAGTATACTGCTAAAATGAAGTATCTCAAAGTCATGGACCAAACAATAGCGGAAGCACCTAAGAGCTTCGATTTCAGTGTTAATCCAGTGGGCCGAATTATCTCTCGTGTGTATCTAGTGAAAAATGTGACAACAGCTGATATTCCTTGAGCTAAACCAGACAACCTGCAGCAACTATTAATAAGGGAATGGCTACTCGTTTAACAACCTACTGCAATTTTTTGCAAAAAATTGGTAAAGCAATCTCAGTGCTGTCAATAACATGTTTTGCAGTTATGCTATGTTTTGTATAAAGGCTAGAGTGTAGAACAGAAATTATGTAGGCTACACTTTTTCGCCACAACTGTCTGGTGTGGAAGTTGCCCACCATCTCATTGAGTATATGTACTGAATACAGGTTCCTCATCTATCATTGCATGACAGGGCATACATGAATTTGGTGCACTATCTATTTCTTAATGCATAAGGATTCTAGGAGAACAATCACGTTTTTGCACTAACGGCGGGCCTGATCCTGATATTTGCTTGGCCCAAAGATTCTTGCCTATAATGGTACTGCCAAGAGCATACTTATGTAGCTTCACTGAGGTATATAGGTATGTATCTCGTATATCATTGCTGACATGTGTGACAGGACATACATGAATTTGGTAGCAATGTGTACACTCTCATCAATTTCTAAGCTAAAGTATCACGTTTTGCACTCCTCTGCCGAAATGGCTAGACATTTACTTGGCCCAAAAATGCCTGCCTACTATGGTACTGATAAGAGCACCCTTATGTCCCTTCTCTGTGGATATCCTATGCCTAATGAATATCTCAAGTCTTGTCACTAATTGCAGTGATGCGGTACTTCCAACTTCGTGCGGAGCCGTGATCTCTCGTTAGAGTAGAAAACATTATCTCTTACGAGCTCGGTATACAACGGGTAGCTGTAATCACAACTGACTAAAATGACTTACATCGATCTTTATATAGACCCACATACATGAGACTAATAATCTAACACGCAAGTGTGCATGACATACAGAATAATACATTACACTTATTCCAGCGACACCTTATAAAATGGGGTTTATGTCACATGTAGCACGTCATAGTCTTCACAAGACAAGATACACACTCTACTGTTCCACTACAGAGGACAGTAAAAGGTAGCAATGTATATATAATACCTTATCTGGTAGGTTTAGGTCAGCATTGGCTTCTATCAGAAGACGCACAATATCAATGTGACCATTCATTGCAGCATAGGAAATGGCAGTTGTTCCGTCCTAAGTGAAAGAATTAATCATGTCATCACAAGCACATACAATAAAACACATAACATAGCATGAGGGCAACTGACCATGAACCCAAAACACAAGGCTGAACTACAGAAACGTGAAGCCGAAGTGTTTTATGGCCCAGCCTCGAGTACCTTAATGAGCGTACAGCATGACACTTTCGTGCTTCAATTGATTTATTGTACCGTGGGTGACTCAAAAGCAACGACCAGGAACTAAGACGGTTCGAGGCGGTGGTGGTCGTCTCTCGCCGCGACTCAACGCTGCTCTGATGCAGTGAGAATGCTCCGCAAAGGCCAAGATACAACTGCTACGACTCCTAGGGGTAAGAAAGCTGCTGTTTACTAGGCTGATTCCGTTCCTCGCATCGCCCTGGGCTACAATCGCGCGGCTACGCACCGACGTGGACCACCGCCAGCCTCACAGAGCGGTATTAGCTTATCTCCTAGCCCTTAGATACACTTCAGGTATATATATAATTATATATACCCGTGTCTCCCTCTAATGTGACTGAAAAGCCCAGTTTGGCAGTTGTTTGCAAAACCGTGTTTTGAAAACTGGGCTTTGAGAGCAAAAGTGTTCTTTTATGACGAATAAAGCACTGGCGGTGCCTTTGATCAGTCCACGCAAAGCACAATATAAAGCAATAAGAGAGAGAAAAACAACCTCATCTTGAGAATTAACGTCGGTGTGACCAGTGAGCTCTCTCTTGACAGCATCAATATTCCCAGTGGCAGCAGCTCTCAACAAAGCAGCCTTTCCTTCCTATTAGCCATGATAACACAAATAGTAATGAAATTAATAAACATAATTATTATTAAAACTCACCAAAACCCACTTTTTCAGGTTTGAAGCAACAACCACATTCTGTTTCATATGAGAACATTCAAGTCTGTCCTCAGCCACTAAGGTGGCGTAGTGGAACCCAGTAGCTTCCAGATCACAACTCGGACAGCTAAAGGCTACAACTGGAGTTGTTGCCTGTCCATAGCGATACAGTTTCAATACTTCAGTCATTGTTGACTCAATTGCAATACGAACATCGGAACATGTCTCCCTCGAAACACTTGCAGCATTCCTGACAGAGAGACTGAGGTGCTTTGCAGAACAGGAAATCTTGAAACTCACTGCAGGAGAACCAACTGTAAACTCAACACTGTTGCGATGAAAGGTGTCGTAGTTTATCTTCCATGGGGTTTTGGTGTTCATTTGTTGCTGTACTATTGCAGTGATTGTGGCTCTACCGAGACCAATAGGGAGCACAAACCCTTCCATCGTGAAGTAAACAGAGTTCATCCCAACACCATTGACCTCTCTATTCATTGGCAGCATACAGGTGAGATAGTACATGGGATGTTGGGCAGTTGAGTTTGGATGACGACACATCACTAGCAGGTCAAGTGCTATCTCGATGAGACGATCTCTTGTTATTGACTTGAAGTGCAGAACTACATCATTGATATCTTCATCGTCGACAACTGCTCTCCCAGAGAGAGGCTTCAAGAAGGCCCTTCTCATCAGGTGGGAGAGAGCATTGATCAGTACTTGAGGTTTGATGATAACCACATCGCGGAGGTGTTCAGTTTCATATAACCTTATGGCTCCGACTTTATTGTGAAGGAATTTGAGACACGGTTTGAATGACTGTTGCTCGACTCCACACTGCCGAGCTATTTCCTGGCACTGACTCAGTGAAATCATTGGTCGTGTCTCAGACACGTTCTGCAGGACTACTCCTGTGAACAGCCACGAGGTGGGGGCCTTCACTCTCAAATGACTGCCATACACCAGGCCTTGGGTTGCCCTGCGAATCACAGCAAAGTCCTCGTCATTCTCCAGAGAAGAGAAGTTGTCCACAGCAAAGACGATGCTGTCAGCACTGCAACGCTGGACAATGTTGGCTTTATACTGTGGAGTGTGTCGGATCAGTTCAATCAGGTCTCTGTTGACGGCCTCTATTCTCTGAGGGGACACCTGGTCCTTGTGTGTGCCAATGAAGAAAACACACGAACGATTCTGGAACTCTCCATCTCCAGACACGTCCTGTGAGTCTTTCTTGGAGCCCCGTACACCAGAACTGTGAACTGGCACACTTATCAGAGACTGACACAGCATCTCACCTACAGTATGTGGTGATTCGTATGTGATCGGGTCACCATCAACAGATGGGAGGTACTCCAGAGGCTGAATGGAGTGAAGGTCGTGCACCAGATTGAAGATGATGTAGACTGTGTTGCTCTCTGCAATCAGTAGAGCCAACAGCTCCTGGTACTCGGGCTGGCCTCCTGTGTCTCTGCACAGTACATACGAGGCACTGTCTATCTTCCTGCTGAGTTGTGTTTGTTTCATACTGATTAATGCTTTATTCATTACATTGGAGGCTGAGGGTAATTGCCCCTCTACGTTGCCAGACTCTTCAATGTGTGTGGAAGCTGGCACATTTTGCGGCTGATCTTGCTCGCTCTGTTGCGTAGGTTGCTGTCCTTCTGTGTTTGGCAAGACTGAGTCAGTGCCTGTGGTAATGGACTGCTCTACAGCTTCATTTTTCACCTGGGCCAATTTACTCTGCTGAAGATCCGGCTGCCCGTCTGGTTTGGGTGAAGCTGGTTTTTTATTCTGCTGTTCAGGTACTGTGGTGCTAGAGAAATCTTGAGGTGATTCTTGTATGAAGAGATGTCCGTGCTGAGTTACCAATGCAACAAATCCCTCCATTTCCTCCTCGGCTTGAATCCTCCTCCAGGCAAGTTCTGAGACGTGCAGAACAAAGCCACAGCTTCCCCTAATGTCCAGTCTCACACTTCCTTCTGAACTTGTGATGTCAGTACTTGGAAGAAGTCTCTCTGGAATAATGCCCTGCAAGCGTTTCCAAAACGAACTCTTTCCAGAACGAGGGATTCCAGTGAATACAATCTGCATCATGTTTAGTTCTGCCTCTCGCTCAGAACCTAATATGACAAAGATGAGCCTTTTCAGTAGCTATATGCAATTAACCCTCGGTTTGCATGCACAGCGATGGTTACAGAAGTTGTCGTGTGTGTCTGTCTGGTCTGTCCGAGAGCTATCTCACTTCACGAGCAATCAATCGCTCCACAAATGATACCACGTATTCAGCGTCGGATAAAGGTTGACAAAGATGTGGGGTTTTCTCTGAAACTGCTGCATTCGGGAGTTATGGTGTGACACGAGCGCTCTCATTTTTCTGGCCTGCCGGCTTATCGCCCTAGACAAGAACCCTGGTGTCCGACCAATAGGCATTGGGGATACTGACTGCGCGGAGGATCTTAGCAAAAGCGGTGCTGTCAGTAACCAAACCCAACAACCACGAAGCCTCCAGATGTCTGGGGGACAGATTTCTGGCATCGAAGCTGCACTGCACGCAGTAAGAACCGCCTTTGACTCCAGTGACACCGAAGCAGTGCTCCTGGTTGAAGCCACCAACGCATTCAATTCCTTGAACCGTCAGGTTGCTCTCCAAAACATCAGGAGGCTCTGAAATCAATAGATACAGAGCTCCTACAGAACTGCTTGTAGACGGTGACACTCTACTCTCCCAAGAGGGTATGACGCAAGGGGACCCACTAGCCATGCCCATGTATGCCCTCGCCACCATCCCCGTTATCAACAAACTTAAGGGCAATTCCAAGCAGACCTGGTATGCGGATGACACAGCCGCCGTAGGTAAACTAGCAGAACTGTGGGTGTGGTGGGACCTTTTGACCAGAGAAAGGACAAGACTTCGGCTACTATCCCAATCCATCCAAGACGTGGCTATATAGTCACAAAGGAAGGCTGTCACACTGCTGGGCTTTCAACCTTTGCTGGCACAGGGGTGAATGTTACCTCAGTGGGCAGACCGTACCTAGGTGCTGCAGTTGGCTCAGCCGAGTACGTGGAGAATTATGTGAAGTCGAGGGTTGACTCCTGGCTATCCATCGTGCACAATCTATCAACAATCGCAAAGACCCAACAACATGCGGCTCTCACACATGGTCTTTCAAGCAAATGGACCGTACAGTTCCCAATATCAGGAACCTCTTGAAGCCGCTCGATGACATTCTGTGAACCTAACTCATTCCAACACTTACCGGAACGCCCCACCTAGTGACTTGGAGCATGCTCTGTTTGCCCTGCCAGCAAGAATGGATGGGCTGGGAATAACAATCCCTTCCATGCAAGCTGACCAGGAACATCAGTCGTCCTTACTGGTAACCTCTGCTCTCCAAGACCACATACTACGAAACGAGGCATACGGGTACTAAGTTATTGCCCAGCAATTGGATTCCAAGGCCATTGTTAGATCACACAAAGGCTGCTGGAGATCTGTTAGAACTCATACCAGACAACCAGCAGAGGTCGGTGAAACTAGCAAGTGAGAAAGGATCCTCCACTTGGATCACTGTCCTGCCACTTTCAGAGCATGGCTTTGCCCTGCACAAAGGAGCGTTTCATGATGCCCTGGCACTACGATACGGCTGGACACCAGACTCCCTTCGAAATGTGTCGGCGGTGCCTCTTTTTCTGTTGAACACGCTCTGTCTTGTGCCAAAGGTGGCTTCCCATCGATCAGGGACAATGAGATACGGGACCTGACAGCTACCCTCCTCACAGAAGTGTTCAATGACGTGTGCATTGAGCCGGAGCTTCAGCCTGTGACCAATGAAGAATATCGCTGCAAATGGTGTCTGGGGTGGCAGAAAGAAACTACCTCGATGTTAGGGTATTCAATCCTTACGCCCCGTCAAACAGACACGCCAATCTGCAATCAGTCTACAGAAAGCACGAACAAATCAAAAAGCATGCATATGAACAACGGATAAGAGAGGTTGAACACGCTACCTTCTCGCCTCTAGTGGTCTCTGCTACTGGAGACTTGGCCAGGGCGCTCCACAAACAATACCACTATTCAGTGTCAGATAAAGGTCGAAATATATGTCAGGTTGTTTTCTCTGAAACTGCTGCGTTCGGGAGTTACGGCATGAAACACGAGCGAAAAAGGCAATTGCTGATGAGAACAGGCTTACCTAGAGTGGGTCCGCTTGCTCGGTGTATCTTGAAGGCACAAGAAGTCACAGCGAAGGGCGTGTATCGACTCCTGCATGCTATCTACTACTGTAGCTAGCCCGTGTCACACTCACCGCGAAATATACTAGCGGGAGACCACGAGTAAAACGCATACCAAAAGCCCAGTCCATCAATTAGTGGTACCACGCATGCGCAGTTCGCCGAGGGTTTGCACTTTTGCTCATTTCGTCAGTATTATGACTATTAGTAGTCCACCAAGAAACACGCTACAGAGACACCCTGTAGTAAAGCAATGTGCGCCATATTACAACTACGATGAGCTGTAGCCCCACCCAGCAGATAATGACAATTACAAAGCAGGTCAAGTAAAATGCCAGATTTTTGCTTCGTTGCCAACTCTGGGACATTGAGTTCACCGCTACTTACTGCTGCGACGTGCCTCAAATGAACGAGAGGGCTAATCTCGGACAAAACTACGTGATGACTGCTCACGTGGCACTCGGAATAGGTTCTAACACTTGCAACTTGTTCAACACTCTCCGTTGCAGCTGAAGAAAACACTTTCCGCTTGCACAATTCAGACACGAGCTGTGAGCATCTTCGAGATTGAAAGGCACCTTGGGATTAGGAGAACCATAGGATCTTCGGCGCATTCATACTGCTCCTCTACTCAACAGGGCCTTTTAATCTCCAAGATTAGCCCGTGTGGAGGTTCTCTTTGCCACTTCTGAGGGCATAGTTAAGTGCACCATGGTGTCAAGAATGTGATGGGGATTTTTATCTCACAACTGGCCCTTTACCCAGAGCATATCGTAGGGCAAGGGGTTGCAGTTTGGGTGGGGGCAGGAAGGACTGGAACTAGACCAGTCTTGCAGTTGTTACTCAGGTGTGCTCCTCAGTTGGGTGAAGTGTGGACTCAAACAAATCGCTGTCTGCTACGAGCAAGCTAGTCCAGTAAGATGCAATGGCTTACCAGTATTTATTTACCGAAGGATAGACTGCATACCCTTCTACACCGATTTTAAACGGATACTTTCTCATGACTCTAAATCAGTTATATGCTTGTCGTATTTAGATAGCCTTGGGGGACCTTTTTAACGACTTGAAATTCACTCTGGTCGTTAAGGGCTGTCAGCAGAAGCATTATTAACCCTCGGCGTGCATGCACAGCAAGGGTTACAGTAGTTGGTTTGTCTGTCTGTGTATCTGTGTGTCGACGCTCATTCTGGAACTACAGGCTACGAGGCGCCCTATTAGTGATACCAGCGGCTTCAGAACAACGCGAGCCTGAAAAACAACTGGGCTGGGCTTACCGTGACCTGATCCGCTCGCTCTGTGCACCTTGGAGGCTCAAGAAGTCACAACTAAGGGCATGTATCGATTCCCGCATGCTATCTAGTGTAGCTAGCCCGTGTCAGACTCTCCGCGAGCTACTAGCTTGAACACAACGAGTATACGCATACTCTTGGCCCAACCATCAATTAGCGGTACCACCCATGCACAGAAGTAGCAACTACTACCTCAACAACACTTTAAAAAATTATGGAGGTAGACAACGTCGTGCTTTGTGTCCCGTGGTATGGAACGCGGACACACACCAAGACCTATAAATGCCATTGCTCTCTTATTTTCTCCAAGGTTCCGATGTCTTGGTAGGTACAAGGTGACATATTTCTAGTTAAGGAGGCGATGGAGAAAGTCGCCAGGGAACTGCAATGACTGGTCGTTTACACAGTAGAAAGTGTAAAAATACATACGCCGTTGAACGTAATACCATTGGATAGTAGGGCTGCGTGTAGTGTATGAGTGGATCCATTTAATTAATCCTGTTCAAATGGAGTTAACGTTTGTCAATTATTTATGTCATTCAATAAAAGCACACCGGTACATTTCTCTCAGCCATTATATAATGCA